CCGTTTTGTTGCAAGACTTCACGGCTTTGGTCGGCATTATAGGCGCCTATCGCGAGAACTATGAGCTGACACTCACTTACTTTATAATCACGACCATTGTGTTGATCATGAATTTAGTGAATACATCCCTCAGAAACACTATCATTGGACCCATTCTTGACATTTGTGTTATGATCACAGCTTTTGTCTTCTCCAAACACCTCAAAAGTACTGAATATGAGATCAATGATAGCAAGGCTCAAAATAAAGTGTAAATTAATCCTATAAATCATGATTTTCCCAGTATAAGTAAACTAGATTATCAATATAAGGTACTATCATTTGAAAGAGTACTTTTTAAAAATAAAAATATTTTTCAAGTAATGAATATTCTGGTAATTCTATTATATTATGAAAATATGTTGTTTTATAATTAATAACTTTTTGCCAATCCTTTTTCTAATAAGTTATCGGATTTTATCCGTATGTTATTGAGAACATCTATAATATAAATATTTATATTTTAACCATATTTCAAGGAATTTAGTATATTTTATTGGAGATTTCTATAGAAAAATATATATATTTTCAGTTCATAGCTTTTATTGATTAAAAATGCTCTCGAAGGTTTTAATTTAAATTATTCAGTAATTATTATGAAGCAAATAAATAAAAACTAATTTATATTAAATCTAGATCTAAAAATAATACTCTAATAACATTATGTAGCGATTTTTCTAATTAAATCTCACTAATTAATAGAAAACAGAATTTAATTAGCAATATATTAATAAAGTGATTAAAAATAGACATGTAGCGTATAATTCAAAAACATTTTATTTTTATTTGATAGCAACGATTAAGTCATTTGAAAACATTTTATTTCGATCACAGAAACAGCTTTGTTTGTGTCAATGATTTTTTGAGTGATACAAGTCTTGTGTGCAAAACAAATACAGAATAATTAATAAGTCAGAGTATTTTGTGCGAAAAATAGCATAAAAATTAATAATAATAACATTGAATACATTTATACAAATTCAATATTTATCTACATTTCAAATACATAATTAACATAATATTTCATCATTTACTTTAATATCATTATTATTAAACTTATTATTGTTTGCATCAATTTATGCAATGAATTTCATGCATTTATTTAAATCAAAAACGTCTGGTTTCCCATTTTTATATATCATATAACAGTCAGTAGTACTAAAAATGCAATCAAAAATCAATATAAAAAGTCACATAACTATACAAACACCGGACTCTTTAACATTAATCAGATTCTCGTTTGGATTCGACTCCTTTGAAACCGAATTGTTTGCATCCGTTTCCTCCATAGATCGGGACCTACCCTGTAATCCCTGTCCCAGAAATGGTCGCACCGATGGCGGCAGACACTTAATTGTCGGTAGTTTCGCGCTATAATACACACCAAAAATGAGATCATTAGACAAATGGTAAGACAATAACCGCGAGAATAATCTCTGCAAATAAGAGCCAAATGTATGATTACTTGGATGACTCGGTGGTGACTTGTGAGCTGATTAGTGGACTCTGGGCTTTGATGATAGGATTAGCGCCCGGATTAGTGAACTCCGAGAAGCAGGCGAACATACTTTGCTGCTTCTTCAGCATCTTCTGCTTGGGACCAATGAGTTTGGAGATCATTCTGGCGGGTCGGATGGTGGGCGTGCGGTCAGCGGCGAAACCGGCGCCTGATATGGGACTCCCGTCCCAAATGTTGTCGCGCGAGCCCATCGGCGACTGGACCTGTTGTGGGCACAGGGATGCGATTTTGCGGAAGTCGTCGACACTCTGGCCGCGATGCAAGAGATGGTCCCAATAGAAGCTGTCGAACGACTGCTCGCGCTTCAGGTTACCCCTGAGGAGCGCCCGTTGCCGACCATCGCGCGGGACGATCCCCCTCCAGGCGGCCGGTAGTTTGTCCTCACCGGCGGGCGTTCCGGGCGGCAGGTCTAGGATGAGGTCTTTGCCGGGATTGTTGTGGTAGCGGACGATTGGAAGCAACTGATTGTTTGCTAAGTGTATGACAAACGCGTTGAGATTCAGCGAGAATGAGAGTGAGAGGAAGTTGTGGTGCATATCGATTATTGCCAGACGACATCCCGACGCCTTCGTGTCCCACACCTGGAGCGTGTTGTCCTCGGAGGCGGACACGGCTGACGAGCCGTCGAGAGTGAGCTTCACTTGCATGACGTTCGCGTTATGACCGGATAGTGTGAACTGTTCCGATCCGGTGGTCATATCCCAGACGATGAGATTACAGTCCTGTGAGCCGCTGATTACGAGACTCGCGTTGAGAGGGGCGGTGGCCACGCACGAGATGCTGCCCTCGTGGCCCACGAGCACCTGGGTCAGCTTGGCCGACGTCACCTCCCATACTTTCAGCGACATGTCCTGCGAGCCGGTGATGATGGTCTGGCCGTCGTAGGCGCACGTGTAGCACGTGATGGGCTCGCTGTGCGATACGCTCTTCTCGTTATCGCAATCAAACGACGACCAAAATCGGACACTAATTATCGCAAAATTCACAAATAATTAGATATTTCTTTTCATACAATACTGTGTCGACACAAACCTGTTGTCGTTTTTACCCGAAACGGCAAACACTGTATTTCCGTGAAGAGTGACGTTATTAATAGGTTTGGTTGTGACCACCAGTTGTGAGCCATTGTCCGCCTGCCATACCATATGTACGCCCATACTATCGACAGATAAAATCCGTCGGGAGTCTGCGGTCACTTTGACGGTCACTATACTGTTTTGGTGCTCAATAAACGTCGACACAATTAGGCCTAACGTGAGTCCCCACACGCGCAACGACTTGTCCTCAGAGCCCGACACTGCGAACAAACCGTTCGGCGCGAAGTCAACACAAGTGACGGCACCGGTATGGCCCTCGAGAGTGGTGTGCGTCTCGCCGGTGCTTAACTGCCATATCTTTACCAAACAGTCGCGACTACCCGTCACCGCGAGACACCCGTCCCGCGAGACGGCCACACAAGTGATGGGCTCTCTATGATTGTCCACTTTCTTCTTCTTGCGGGACGAGGGCCTCGACCGGGGCTTCTCGTTCTCCTTCTGGGCCGAGACCTCGGCTGCCGCCGCCATGGCATCCCTGTCCACCTTCCGGAGCATGAAATTCCAGACGACTATCTTATTGCCGCCGCACGTGAAGAGGAACCGGTCGTTGGGCTGCGGGAGTATAGCTGTGATCATCTCCGTGTGCGCCGCCAACGTCTGTATGAGTCGCGCCGAATGGATGTCATAGATGTGGAGCTTTCCGTCACCGCAGCCCAGAATACAGCGACAGTTGTCTTCGGCGAACCGCAGGTACGATATGACGGCGCCAATCGAGTGGCCCTTAAGGCAGTGGACGTCGGTGCCTGTGGTCAGCGCCCGCACGTGCACTGAGTTGTCCTCACAGGCGAGCAATAGGAAGGTTGAGTCCAACGAGATGTCCATATGAAGGATGGGTTTGTTGAGTGTAATCTCATTGAGAATGCAAAAGGTCTCCAAACTCCAGACGGCGACCGAGCAGTCCGTAGAGCCCGTCACGAACACGTCATCCCCGCTGTTGACGCCCAGGCATGTGATCATCCCTTTGTGGTGCTCGAGTCGGGCCACTATAGTACCCGAGTCCACGTTCACCGCACACACGGCCCCTATCTCTGAGCCGCTCAGTATTATGTCCTCCGAGTGGGTGATCACAACACATAGTACTCCCGCGATGTGATGACTAAACCATTTTATTGTGAATAAATGTATTGATAAATATTTTTTTGTGGTTTTTGTTTTTATTTCTTACTTTAATCTGTGCTTTAGTTTACACGATATCTCGTAATCAAAGCCTATTTCCCAGAGATTAACGTTCGTGTCTTCGCTACCAGTGGCCAACCATTTGCCAGAATCCGACAAATGAAGGCATGTTATGGTCGAGCGATGACCTGAATATCCAGAATATCCAGAATATTTTTGTTATTCATACGCTTAGTAGATAAACTTTAATATAAAACTAAATGAATGCTAAATTTGATATTCTTGCGAAAGAAGTAAATTAAAAACAATTCCTTAATGAAAGCGAGAGATTAAATTTAAAGTCATCTATCAAAATAAATGGCAAAATAGTGTTATGCACTGAATTACTAATTCAATTAATAATAAAATACGAGATAGAAACTCGTGATTAGAGTACATAAAGTCATTTTTCAACCAAAAATAATGGTAAGAAATGTATTTTAGCTGCACTTCAATAACCCATTAATAAACGCGAGAATAGCGTGAATACAGTAGCGTTTGGATAATGTTTGCAACAAAAAAAAACATTTGTCACACAATTGTAAGTTTGCATTAAATAAAATGGTTTGAGAAAAAATAGATTAATTTAAAAGTTTGCGTTTGTTTGGATAATTCAAACATTCAGTGGTGATAGGGATTCACGTCTAATCATTATATAAGACTAAAGAGATTCAGACGTTAAAAATAATTTTGTGTAACATTTTATTTATTCAAGTAGTTTCTCTCAAATTGTTTCATTGATTTTCATTCTCTTTTCATTAGTCAAAGTCAAAGCGTTTTCATTAAAGTATTTCTCAATCTTTTTGGAGATAAAGAATTCAAGAAATTCAATGATTAAGTCATTCGTTGAATCCATTTTTACACATTTGATTAATTGTATGAAATTGTCAAAAATAGGATTTAATTCAACGCTATTAATGGATTTAAATATAAAAAAATACTCTATTGTACTGTAATAATTATAATGCTGTCATTTCTTTTAAAATTTCAATTTGTTAATTAGCTTTAAAACGTATAATTATCCTAGTTAGCATTACTAGGATTTCATATAAATTTTTATATTTTAAATTTTATGCATTAGTAGGTATACCTACTTGCATTATTTCGTAAGAATTATCAATTTAAGGGATTATATGATATAACAATCTTATAACAAAATCAATTAGTGCCAGAAATACAAAAACTTTATATAATAACATATTCTGTATACTGTACAGTAAGTTATAGTAAATTCATAATACAGTATAAAGTTATAAAATATCTGTAAAACTAAAATAATGACAGAAATTGGTTGAAAATCTCATTTAACGAGACGATTAACTGAATAGAAAATGATGAAAATGTTAGATACCCTCAAATGACTTGATGATGGACTTGGCCGGCAGGTTGTAAAAGTGTATCATTTTGGCCTCACAGGCGATCAGATACTGCGAGTCGGGTGTGGACACGGCTCTAGTAATACTACTCCAGGTGCATGTGATCATGGCTACCTGCGGCGGCATCGGTAGGTTGAGCCACGAGTTGGATGGTATTAATATAGGGGTCTTGAGATGGTTACACCAGTTGTACGTGTCGTTCACCAGTTGCGTGAGCCCGGACTCGACGGCATTGGGCTTGATTTGGCTAATCGCCGGCGTGTCGGAGCTGACACTGGCGTTAGTGGTGAATGGCTTGAGCCACAGGAGTATCTCAATCGCTAATTGATTGGCGTCTTGCGACACGACGTGAACGGATTGTTTAGTCATATTATAGAGCACTTCTATCTCCCAGTCCAGTATCTGACTCCTCACGATATCCAGTATACTCCTTAAGTAGCTGATGGAGTTGCCCTTCACGATCGTCATCAGGAAATCGATGTTCAAAATAGCCGTCTCTTTCAGTTTGTGGCGATCGCCGCACTTCAAGAAGTGATACCAGAGTTCGTCGGCTTCGCGAACCACTTCCGTCTCTTTGCAGACACCGTTGGACTCATTCAACGCCTGAAATTCATTGCAAATATAAAGTTATATAATTTTATAAGAAACTGAAATTTATGTAAATATTTTCCAGTTATTATGAATAGCAAAAGTAGATACTCTCAGAATATTCTGTGTAATAAATCATTTTTAAGTATGGCATTAGTGGCTAATAAAATATTTTTACTCAAGATAAAAAGAAAAATAATTGAGTATAAAAAAGGTTTAAATGTAAAAATATTGAAATTTAGTTGAATAACTAACCAAATCATATAAAATTATAATAAGTAAATTAAATTCAAATTTATTCCGTTACTGCTCCATACTATTCATACCGGTACTTGTATTCATAACTAAAACTTTTTTGGATATAAATAACAAATAAAATACTTCAAATACTATGTAGTATTATATCTAAAAATAATTTATCGACAATTCCTGTAGAATCAAAATGACTTTTTGAATGACATTAGAATTCACACAAGAATTGACTAGAATTTCCATTTTATATTGAATTCAATAGAAATGCAAATAAATAATAGTGAATGATGTGAATGGTGCTATTATTTCTAAAATTATTTTTATTGAAAACAGTTTTGTAAATGATTTTCTGTTGTTAGATATGAAGTAAACTTTTATATTCTGTCACATCATAAACACCAAAAATGTCATAAAATTTTATGTTTATTTGCAAAATAAGTTAAAGGCATAACGGTAAGTATTTTGAATATCTATTTTTGCCTAATACTGTATTTACACATTTTTTGTTTGTTATCAATTGTGTTAATATTTTCAGAATTTCTATATTACTATACAGTATTATTTTAGTATTTACTAGCAATTATTTTAAAATTTAAACGTTATTTAGTTACAGTATTTGCAAATTGAAATGATAAAGTATCCAATTTATCGATTTTTGTAATCTCACATAAGATTACATTACTTAAAACTATAATAAATATATTTATTTTTACAACTTTTTAAGTTTTATTTATAATACACAATTGTTTTGTAAGTTATGTCTAGTGAATTCCACGTATTTCAAATAATTTCATGTTGTAATCCTTATAACATTGCTAATTGCTACTCACTTTTGGAATTCACTGGTTATGTCTGTTATTAGGAAATTGTCAAATAAAGATGTTTATTGAGTTTAACACCATTTGACTTGTTAGTAGAGTTGGAGTTTCAATAAAAGCGATGACAAAAATAAGTGAACATTACTTTCAAACACAAGAATATTACGACAAAGTGGTGCTAAAAGTGCTAAAATAGTGAGCCTTTTATATGTGATTTGTGTGACACAAGCGATCAAATAAAACTGAGAGGACATAGAGTATACATTTGCAGAGAATCTCGAGTTTATGTAAAAATCATGTAAAAGAGAAAAGACATGACTTTTATGCACACTTTGCGCACAATTAATGACAAGAATTGAGGCGAGGATTACCTCATTGAAGGCCGAGTGAAAAGCGTTGGCCAACTCCTGGTGAATGGACTGGAGTTTTTGGGGATCTTTGAGATACCGGTGCCGTAGGGCGTCACTGATGCACTGGTTCCTCCAATTGAGATAACTTCGGCCCAACACATAGTATCGCTTCCAAAGGGGACTCAACTTCTCTTTGATGGCGAGCCATGTGTTGGCGTTGGCGTCGGCCGAGTCGTCGTTGAGGACCAGATCAAAGATCTCGGCCTCTCGGAGACCATAGCGAGTGCAACACAGAAACGAACAGATCTTGCGGACCAGCGATGACCCAAAGCGCTCCTCCAAATCACTGATAGTATGGGCGACAACACCGCTGATATCACTGGGTATGGAGGCGATGGTGGGCTCGTAGAAGGACTCCCAGTCCGACAACAGCGTCGACGATAAGAGGTTGGCGTAAAGGGGCGACGAGTAGATCTGATTGAACCACGAGTTGGAGAAGCGCTCCCTAATGATCGCCCACTGATGGACAGTCAGACTGTGCTTCTCGTCGCGGAGTTTGCACTGAAGGGTCGACACGAAACTGGCGGCCGACGAGATGGGCGCGAGTTTTATGAAGTTATCGGCACTTATGCGAGACCTCAACAGCGAGAGTACCTCTTCGGCCGTCTCGGCCACGGAGCAGATGAGGTGGACGTTCGCCGGCAGGTTGAATGGCATCCATCCCAACAGGGATGTGGTCTGCGATGAGCACAACAGATGCATGTCATCCAAGAGGATGATGAGGTCCGAGTTCTCGGCCGTGGTTTCGATCATTTTGAGCAAATCCTGGAACCATATGGAGAGCGCCGACAGCTCGTAGCTGACAGTCGTCTGCGCCTCGAAGCCAAACACCAGTGATATATGAAGACATAGATTGCGCAACAGTTCCGACGTATACCTCGAGCCGGGACTTTGGCCGATGTGTCGCACAATACGGATCACTTCGTCGCCGCCGACCAGCCATTCCGCGGAGTACGTGAACACCTGAGATAGGAGTGTCGTTTTGCCCACACCTTCCCTCCCCATCACCACAATAGGCGCGTGACGTGAGGCCGAGTTGGCCGACACTATGAGCTTCTGGATCTGCAGGAGTGGCGCGCAGTCCGAGTCTATAGACTGGGAAACGCCGATTGAACTCATGATTTGCTTAAAGTTACACAAATGTGAATGAGATTCACAGATCACTTCAGCCGGGTATTCAAAGGTCGTCCGATTCAATTGGTTTTCAATGGATGTCTTCAAACTGTTCAATAGAGTTGTGCCGAACTTCTCGATGTAATCGCCGGGAAGGGTGTAAATGGTTGGCGCTGTCGACAGCTCTTCGCTCTCATGCGGACGAGACTCACCATCCCATGAGATACTGATTGACACATCAAGAGAGAGACAATGAATATTAAACACAAATGAGAAACTATTTTCAATTCAATTTTCACTTTATATTCAATTTACAAGATTCTGGATAAATAATTGAGAGAATTGTCAATATTTCTAAATATATTTTATGATAAATTCTGTATTTTTTCAAAAACAACTATTTTGTATAAAGTTTTTATATCGTATTTTAAGTTTAAAAATTGAATTTTATTTATTGTCATTATTTCTAAACTTTTTTGTCAACATGTACTTTACAGTACGGTAATATTTATTTGAAAGTCAAAAATAAAAGTTTCGTTCAATAAATCAATTGATTATAAAGTTACAGTGCTCTCAAATAGACTCAATACTCTTTGAATAATTTGTGTACAGAATTCCCGGAATCGTTATAATATTCCCTAGAATTAAGTCTAAATTCAAATCTGAGAGTCAAATTGGAAATTCTGAAAAAACTTATTGAAATAAAAACAACTTAATCTCAATTCACGTCAAGACTCAATGTTTATTCAAAGAGACAAATGTTTGAACTGTACGTGAATTAAAAGTTACATTTGAAAAGTGGAAATGTTTGAAATGAATATGGGTTTCGTATATTGCATATCATTACAGTTATGTCAGAATAAAACAAATTATTGATTACAGACTTTTAACTATCAATAGTCAACTAACAATCAACTCATAAACTAATCTAATTATAATAAAATAAAGCTTCAAACACATTTAGCAATGCAACTCTTAGAAGTAATGTTTGAGTAATTCTTGTGTTAATAAAACAAACGTAAAGTAATTTATTAAGAGATGCTATCATGAAACTTATAAAACAAAGTTTTAAGTGACTGTAATGACTATAAGTATTAGTGAAGACTTACTTAAAATAGTGAACATTTCCTCTTCTGATGCCACAAATGACATCATCGATGAGTTGGTTAATGCCCTGAAGAGCTGATGGCGAGTACTCGCAGGGAGTGATGGAACCGCTGACTGGTGTGGTGGGCGTCACATCGAAATACCTCGACACCGACGAGTGATTGAAATTCACCCCTATTTTCGGGACAAATATAATGAGAAAAAATAATTTCGCGAATTCTAGTGATTAGTAGAAAATGTTAGGAATTAGTAAAACACTGATTATTGTTTTCGCGTAATAAATAATAAATAATAGTTTTATTTGAAATTGTAACCACTGGTAATGATAATTTATAATGTAATTTGTACCAGTTACAACAATAATTGTTTATAACATAATTTAATGCTATTCTTGAACAGTAGTATTCAAATCCGTTAATTCAATGCCATTCATACAACAGTTCATATAATTGCCAAAAATCCGTTAAGAATTTGAGCGAAAAATCAATGATTTAAGTGACAGTAATGGCTGGCAATCGGTTACCGACTATTTTTGAAGAAGAAGAACCGGATGAAGAAGACGTTAAGACAAGAAGTGACAGCTCGTCGACCGACAGCTCTATTCTGAACGACCCGGCTATTGTGGGAGTGGGAAAGTCGAGACCTATCGGTGGTACATTGCCTCCATTCTCAACAGATTTAGGGGATGTCAGCGATGGTTCGGAAGGGGAGGACGACTGGACAGACTATTGGGATCAAAGATCGGTCGAGGACTCGTCGGAAAAGTCTTTGGTGCCGAAGTCGCACGCGTTTGAAGTACTGATCAAAGTGAAGGCCGAAGATCTGGATCAGGCTCAAGTGATAGTAGTCTGCAATCGCTATCAACCGGAAACCGCTAATCCGGTCCGAGGGGTACACAAACCTCGGGAGTATATTCAACAGCTTAAAGAGGGCTTCCAAGCGATGGGTCCATCGGCGGTGACCAATAGAAAAGAGATGCACCCGTCTCAATTGAGTCAATGATTGAATGAATGTGTGGTAATAGATGTCAAGTGTTTGCGATGCCATCAAAGGAAACAATTGGAAACAAATTATTGTCTTTTCAGACAATCGATTAATACAAATCCATTTATTGTTAAATCTTTTTTAGTGCGAATCTATTAATTATCATGCTCATCACATTTATTATAAACATAATTATTTATTATGAATCACAACTATTTATTATTAGTTAAAATATTAATTACATTTTGTTTTATGTTTAAGTTTTATAATGATTTTATTGTAAAGCAATACAACGGTATAGTTAATACAATGAATTAAATTGCAATAAAACAGGAAAATACTGTATTATACAAAAGCTAATTTAGGCAAATATTGCATTTCATTCAATCGTTTTATATCAATCTTGCAATTAATTTAGCTCTTAATTTGAGACTTAATACTATCACTAATCGTGTTTTAGTGATAAGATTATCGTGGGTTGATATATAAGATAATTATCTAGAAAGTCAATTATTTGAATTAAATACAATTTTTAAAAAATAAAATTTTGGTAATAAAATTAGTTTCAAAGTATTTAGGATAATATAATATTATATTCTTTAACATTAGCAATTTATAGATTTAACAAATTAATTTAAATGCAGTTATTTATTAAATAAGTATTATCAAAATTAGTAGGGAATTTATAAATATCATTTGACTCTCAAATTATTTTTACACTATATTAAAATAAACTACTATACTAGAATACTAAAATCTTAGTAAGTTATACTAGATTATTATATTTTTAAAAAACTTTTCCCTTTAAACGCGGAAAATATTTATCTTTTTAAAAAATCCCGTAAATCTGAAGCAATTTTATTCATAAGGAAACATTAAATGAGTTTTATTTATATTTTGCTTCAAATTCACATTTTGTCTCAATTCTTGAATTCAAATTTATTATATGAATAAAATAAATATAAGAAAGTGTTGTCTTTTAAGTGTAATCTGTTTCTCTCTGAGAAAAAAGTAGGCAATTCTTTAGAGAATAAAAATCTAGAGAAAAATTCAGAGGAGAGAGAGAGAGAGAGAGAGAGAGAGAGAGAGAGAGAGATGCACTGAAACTTCATCGGATTTCTGGCACTTTTGAGTCAACACATCTCCTCAGAGCTGATGGTAGTGTAGAAGCCATGAGTGTTGGGACTAAACAATGGAAATCATCGATAAAATAGATATAAATTCAGTCAATTTTAAAGACAGCACAAATATATCATAAAATGCTCTTAAAATTTATTGCAAAATATTGATTCTTTGGCAAAATCCAAGTGTGATGTGAAACTCAAATTATATGCATTTCTCTCTCTATCTCCCGGTGCTTTCTCTGTCTGTGTATGACGTTTATGTCGACACATATTTCTCTACAATAAGACCATTTCATATCTACCCAACTGTCAAAATAAATCCATAACTAATTTAGTATTAATATATAATATATATGACAGCAAAATATTTGATAAACTCCTATGAAATACATAGTTTTTTGGTAGACTTTTCACAAAAACCCGAATAAATCTTAATCTAAGAAAAGGTATGGATTTTGTATGTTTAGAGGATTTATACAAATAGTTGAAAATATGATGAATTGATTTGTTGAATAAAATATAAACCGTAGAATGGATTACCGCCTAAAACATCCAATATTTTGTATAATACTGTACAGTATACCACAACTCATTATTAGTATATTTTTGCAAGGTTTGATTATAATTTGACATTAAATTAATAATATTTAATTAATTCAAAATTTCTTTACCAAATATTTTAATTCATAAACTATACACTAAATGCACAAAAAAAGGATTATGATGTTGTTGTATTTAAGAATTTGAGTTAAATTTTAATTATTAACATTTAATTAATGACATTTGATTTAAATTTAAAAACAAATTTTTATATGATAATATTCTTGCTTAGTATTCTCGCTAATTCTGACTTATGAATAGCATGTAAATTAGGCGGAAAAGTACGAAAAATGTTTGTTTTCTTGCTGGATATTAGATTTCAGGGCAAATAAAATAAATATACTTAACATATAATAAAAAATAAAAATAATGTGAAATATAATATATAACTAACACTCGAGGGTAGAGTATATTAGTCTTAGACAGGAATGTCAACTAAGACTTCAAATTACAGACCATAAAAACGCGACAATAATCCACTGTATTTAATGTAAACTAACGTCACAGATTAGCCGGTATTCATGTTTGGCCATCGGGACGGCTGTGCGTACTCGAGGTCACTGAAGTTTGTATAGATGAGGCACCGGTTACTCCGGCCTGAGCCGGACGTCTCACTACTGAACCACTGCTACCGCGAGAACGAGAACCTCCAGCCGTCGGCCCAATACGCTCTCGTGCGACCCAGACGTATGTCCCGCCAGTACGAGGAGGAAATGGATCACATCACCAGAATCGTCGAGTACGGCGCTAAAGTGGCTCAGAGAGAGGGCGTCCTGAGTGAACACTTCGAGCCCCTACTGTCGGCCGTTCACCNTGCGACCCAGACGTATGTCCCGCCAGTACGAGGAGGAAATGGATCACATCACCAGAATCGTCGAGTACGGCGCTAAAGTGGCTCAGAGAGAGGGCGTCCTGAGTGAACACTTCGAGCCCCTACTGTCGGCCGTTCACCGGCAGATCCTTCACGCCTTGAAGTTAGTGAAGACACACCACTCCAACCACTCGTCCGATCGTCTCCTATGCTTTATCCGACAGTTTGAAGGTTTGTTACAATTATTTATCTTGGTGACTTTTTTTAGTCTTTAAGAAAAATCATATATACAATTTTATAAACACATTTTTATTAGATTGCTACAAACTATGTACACAATCAATGAATTTTATTTCTTAATGCATAAAATCATTGTCTTTCTAATTGTATAAATGATTTGAGTATAAGAGTGGTGTCTGTCCATTGCTATACTGGCGGCGAGTGAATGTGAAACCATTGATAATTTCTAGACGTCTGGGTGTCATATGTCCGGTATTACGAAACTTATGGAGTGGACGGGCGTGCAGTTTCCAAAGAAACTCCTTGAATTGCTCGTCGGCCCTGATATTCTTGAACTCCTCTGCCATTTCTGAGGCGTCTGTCTGTTCCGCCCACGAGATGTTGTGTGTATTCACGAGATCCGCATCGATGTCTTCCTCGAACTGTTTGGTGAAGTATAGCTCGGAATACATGAGACATCGGGCGGTTCCGGATGGGTCGGGCGCGTATCGGATCTGAATTGAGCCCAAATAGTAATACAGTTGAGTAGTGGACTCCGGGAGCTCCACTATACCCACGGTTTGGGGTCGCAGTCGACAGAAGACGTGCCAACAGTTGTCGATAATACCAGTGTTGCTGTTATAAAACGGCACTTTTTTTAGTGAAAACAAATACTGTCTCTTTTTCTTCTTGATGTAACACAACGTATAGTCTCTAATAGCCTTCACGTCCATAATCTGTTGGATTTCACCATAATTTGGATCGTCGTCGCTGTAGTACAGGCCGTAAGTTGGAGTCGGACCAGGACCAGGTAATGGAGGGACAGTTGCCCTGGCACCAGTAGGTCCTGTATGGAGAGGTGGCCTAGCTCCACGAGCACCAGGAAGTCCTCTTGGGACAGGTAGCAAGACGCCGGGAATTATTGGTGGGGGCGGTCTTGCAGTGACAGCTATCGCGGGTGGAGATAAAACTACCGGAAAAGGGTCCTTATGAATGACAAGTGGTACGTGACAGAGGTGTGGCCATGTGGGCTCAGGGCCGGTAGCTGTGCGTTGAGGCGGGCGTTGAGGCGGTCTGTTGAGAGTCCTCTCGAAAAGCCGTTGAATCTCTGTTTTGCTGCTGAAGTCCTGTTGAAACTGACGCCAATCCAGTAGAATTGGTTTGACTTGTGGGTTGTGGTGATAATACCACGAGTTTCTGGTCATCGGCACCTCTTTCCTCTCGATTATAGTCACAGAACTGAGTCCTTCCGACACGACAACAATGAGTGGTGTGAGCTGTTTGTCGGTCCCCTCCAGGCGTAATGGGTAGGCCTCTTGTATGGCTTGATTGGTGTAATAGAGATGGTATTCACTATAGCCATCGACGATCACATATGTCGTGTACTTTAGAAGACTTCTGTACTCCAGCGCCCGTTCCTCTTGTACGCCTCCGGCACCACCTGTTTGACCCCCATTTCCAGTGGTTCTCCTCTCTGTCACGAATAATAGGCTGTCTTTACTACAGAAATAGCCGACTCTTTGCGAGTTCTTCTTATAACTAGTTTCGCAGCGAAAGCTCGCGTACAGTGAAGAGTGGCCAAAGTCTTCGGCGTCGGGATCTCTGGGCTGATCCCAAGACAGTCTCTTTGGAAATGATGGAAGTTCTCCGCCGGCATACATACCGTACACACAGAACGACGGGTTATTGCAGTCGAGGATGCGGTCT